GAAGCCGCGATTATTTTAATCGCGGCTTCATTTCCCTCTTCCGAGCTGGCTAATCTACATGCCTCCGTCGACGGAGGCATGGAGTCTGGACACAGCCTTGGGTAATATAAGTTGTTAAAGTTAACAGCATTCAAAAGGGTTAGAGGCAAAAGCTACTTTCTGTCAATGGAACACTTCCCACAATGTGCAGCAAGGTGTTTAAACCTTCAAATATAGAAGAAAACCCTCAAAAAGTAAATAATTGTCATTAAAATATTTCATTTTCATTAACAAATATCCATTAATATGCATTACAAAATTCTCTCTCTGTGGGGAAATATTTAGACAGTTGCCAACACAGCTTCCTTCCTCTTATTCTGGTTCCCATAACACATCAATTAGACCCTGAATCAGCAGAACACTTTAAATGCATGCTTAAATGCTGTGCTGAGTACAGATGGATAGCTGAACCAAGTCCTGAAAGGCTGCAAACAGATCTTGCAAACCCTTACTATTGTAAGGAGTCCTTTTGACTAAGCCAGATTGCAAATTGGACTGTGTAATAGCAAGTCTAGTAATTCCTTATACAGAATAGCCCTTTTTAAAATTGTTCAGTTCCCATATCCCTACCCATATTCAATCCCAATATGAAGGGAGGGCAAACAAAGATGTTGAGGAAAATGAGATGAATTTCTATCCTTTTTTTAAAGGAAGAAACTTCTGGAATAACTAGCAACTTCCCTGGCTGAGTTCAGCTGCCAGGGAGAGTTGGCAGACTATCAACATCCGTTTCAGGTGCCGCTCTGTGCCATTTCACAACCTTTTATTGAAGGTACTTAGAAAACAGATAGTTTAGCCAAAAAATAACTTGCAAAACAAAGTCCAGGTAAAACTATCAGTTTTATGAACTGTAACAAAGAGATTGAGAACACTACCTTTTATGCAGATTGGTTGTTTCCCTGACCACTCTCCATTGTCTTGGCAGGTCCTCTGCTCATTACCACTTAGAACATATGAATTGTTACAAAAGAAAGCAATGACTGTGCCGATTTTTGCATAGCGTCCGTTCATTAGCCCAGTGTCTTCCACCACTTTTCTGTAGCCATTGAATGGGCCACCAGGGTCTGAGCAGTTTTTTTCATGTAGAACTAACAGTGAGGGGGGGAAAGTAAACATTTTTCACAAAGAATTAATTTTGAGCCACTGATCATGTCACATTTCATACAGACAAAGTCTATACAAAAATTAGGTTTTTTTAACTAAATGTGATACCAGGACTAGTCAGAAATAAATATTAAAGGAACAATGTCAATGTAGAAACCTTAGCCTAGAAATAATAACCATGCTACTAATAGCACCAGAGTTTTTTTTTAAAAAGTTGAAAGGCTTTAGACATTAGGCATAAGCTTAAATTTACGCTCAGGGAGTTGTTCCATTGACTTCTACAGGACTATTTATAGTGCATGAAACTAAGCCTATAGATAAAACTTTGCAGGATCAGGGATTTTTGCACCATTTTTTTCTCTTTACTTTCCACATTTTACTAGGTTTGGATAATGAAACTAGATTACTTCACTTTTGTTTATATTCACTTTCTTTCCTTTTCTCTCTTTTTATCACAAATGGTGCGTCTATACTGCACTGTTTTTTCGTAATAACGGCCATTATTCCAGAAAACCAATACTAGCATCCACGCTGCAATTGCGCTATTTCAACAGAGGCTTGCAATGTAGATGTTCCCTAACATAGAAATCTTAACAACACATGGAAATGCTGACGTATAAAGAAAACCAATTTTTACTGAAATGAAGAACAAACATGAAAATGTTCTTATTCGCATTAGATTCTTTCTGTAAAAAAAAAAAAACCTTTTTTTTCCTTTTCTTCCTCAATCCCTTCCCAGTTTTCTTTTCCTTTTATTTCTTTTGTTTTTTTTCCTGCCCTTTGCTGCTTTTCTGTGGCTTAAAATTAGCTGAAAATATTCCTTAAAGCGCTATTTTCCCTACTCTTTATTTTTTCAGTTTTCTGCTATTCATGCTACTATTTGCAAGCTCTAAAATAAAAAGACTATTGCCCATTAATATTGTCCTTTGCCCATTGGCAAATAGCTCCTGACTCAACAAAGTACTTACCCATGTGACTAACCTTATGCACATATTTACATCCACCCCATTCTCGTCTGTGGTTAAACATATTTTTCCATTGATTTAAATAGGATTTAAGCATGTGATTTAAGTTAAGTATATGCCTAAATGCTATACTGAATACAGATGGACTTGAGTACTTGCTTAAAGTTAGGCACATGCATAAGTGCCTTGCTGAATCAGGACCATATTGAAGAAGCAGGAGGAGGGGGAGCTGGGCTCTCCCATGCCTAGGAGAGGAAGAAGGAAGCTCTGTGCCCACTTTTAGTTTACTTCTATCTTTCTCCCCCTTGTTTTACTCCTGTTCACCTAGCACAGATGAATGTAATGGCCTTCACATGATCTTGTGGCTGGTGTATTGCTAATGGTCATGGACTCATGTCTCACAATACCATTCTCATCACCATACAATGTCACAGAAATGGAGATAACTGAAGTGTCTGTCTGCAAATACTTGACCTCTCTACAGGCCATCTGGTCTGTCATCCCTATAGGAAGGTAGGATAGGACTGGCAGAAACTGCACTGCATTGTTGAGTAATGCAAGAAAATTATTCCAAGGAGCCTTTTTTTAAAAAAAACACTATTTTCCATAGTAGCATCCAACACAGTTGCACCAGCTGGTTAGTAGAGCCTTGTATTTCAGAAGTACGTGAATTTCTCTGAACCAAGTAAGCCCACTGCCTCCACTTGAAAGGGCCTCTTCTCCTATCTGACCCTGCATATGGCTGACTTTGTGAAAGCACTATCACTTCTATGGTGTGTCAGACTGTGACCTATATTAAGTACTGGGTGATGGCATATCTGAAGGATTAAACAGAAAGAGAAACCAGTTGGGAAGAACACACTTCTCCCAACATAGATCGCTTCCATAATAGACAAGGCTAGGGGCAGGCCAAGCTACATATTAAAGAGATGCAGCCAATTGCATTGCATTGTTAAGGGACACTGAAGTTACTCACAGACCCAGGTCCAAAACAGTTATTTCAATTGGAGAATTTCTATCCATCCAAAGGCACATCCTTAGTTGTACTTGCTGACCACTGAGAGCTCTTATAAAAGAGATCCCAAACATTCTCCAGAATATTTTGCATTGTTTGCCTCAGCATCTTTTTTTGAAAGCCCTTCTTAAGTCAAAATTGGTTGTCACAACCAAAATTGGTTGTGACAATATTCTTCCACTATTTGATCTGAGGAAGTGGGTCTGGCCCACAAAAGCTCATCACCTAATAAGCCATCTTGTTAGTCTTTATAGTGCTACATAGTCCTCTTTTTGTTTCAGCTACACCAGACTAACACGGCTACGTTTCTATCACTATTCTACTTCATCCAATGCAAAGGATTCTGGAATTTGGGAACAAAAGATGTCCAGAGGAAAACAACTGAAAGGGACCTTTCTGGAAGAAGAACTATATACTTGAGGCTAGAGGATTGGAAAGGAAAGATTTGTATCTTCAATGGCTGATCTAAGGTTTGCCCTCATATCCACAAGGTAACATTAACCAAAAGTATTTCTTTTTTCTAGCCTGACTGTCCTTTTGTTACATTAGTCTCTCCTTCCCACGATAAGCCACTAAATCACTGCCACAGTACAACAAATCGCTTGAGAAGAAACATCAGCTATGCAGCAGTGCTGGAAATAGCTACTGTATTCACTAAAGCACAAGTCACATGGTCCTCTTTTGTATTTCAGGTTCTAGAAATTGTGCAGTCATGGTCCAAGCCCAGTAGTCTTTGCTTAAACATAGATGAAACAACAAGAGCTTTGCTTGAGTAAGGATTGCAGGCCTGGGCACCAAGATAGCAAATTAATAGCCACTATGGTGTTTTAAAAATACAGAGTTGAAAGAACACTATGTTATGTCATGGATGTACCAAATTCCAAGTGAAACTTGTACATTCTAATTTTTAAATCCCAATAGCTTGTTTTAATGACAATACACTAGGTTAGGCATGCTAAGAATCAAAACTTAAAGCAACCTTACCACATTCAGGATGATGTGTTGACCAACTCCCATCAAGCTGACAGTAGGCAACACGGCTGCCTTTTAAGTTGTAACCTGCGTTGCACTTGAAGTAAACTTGGGCCCCGTATTTAAAGTCATCTCCTTCCACAATACCATGAGCAGGAGCACCTGGAGTCCTACACATCACCACTGACAGTTCAGATATTTCAAAAAAATCCACTTTATTACAAAAACAGGACTGTGTTAGGATGATTTTTTATGCAGAACATTAAAAATAGATTTAAAATGGGCAAAGGAGTCAAAATTACAAGACTTGTATAGGCAAGTTCTTTCAAAAATCAAGTAGCTCCTAATCCTGCAAACACTTGTTCACATGCTTAACTTTCAGCACAAGTGGCACCATTCAGTTCAATGAGATTACTCATGTGCGCTATATTATGCTCACGCCTGAATGTTTGCCAGACGAGGTCATTAATCTGCTTAAACTTGCCCTAGTTAAAGCCTTCTCCATCTCAATAGGAGTTTTGAATGAAGTACCATGTCAATCGCCAGCGAAATACTAAATATCTTTTAGAATCTGGAAACCCCAGTTTTGAAATGCTTTAAAATTCTTGTTTCCACTTTTATGCACGCTTTCATATTTTTCACTTACATATAAAACCATATAGTTGTGTGTTGTGGGGCCCAGCAATGACAATTAAAAATAGACCTCGTCATTTACCATAATGTAAAATTTACCATCACCACAGTATTTTCTATATTGGGGTATACTGAAAAATCCATGGTAAATGTGACTATTACAGATAGCAAATTTTCAGGCCCATGGCACTCTTTGTACACTGGTTGGCAGAGTAGCTTAATCACACTGGGGAAGAATGTCTTTAAGGATATAATAGCGAATGCAAGATTTAGTGTCTCTCTGTGTATTTTATGCCTTTTCTACAATTCACTGAGAACAGATACAGCACTAAAGTCAATCGGTTTCCACACAGTGGTAGTGGTGCTCTGCAGGATCCTATTTCAGAGATGCATGTTATCTTGTAATCTAGGAGCAGTTGTGGTCAATAGCAGATGGTAATTGCAATGCAAATGGGTGCCAGATGTATCTTTTCTGTTTCACACTTTTCTCATAGGATTATGTTTTTTTTTTACCTTGTATTATTGTTCTGCCTGTATTCCATTAACTATGAGTGTAAAGAATATTGTTACCTATTAGCTAATGGTCAATCCTGTTAATGTCAATGGTAAAACCTCTCTCGGAGTCCAGTCCTGAAATCCTTACTCATAACACATGCAAGTAAGACTGACTGAATTCTATGCAACAACCCACATAAATAAGGACTATTTATGTGAGTAAGGCTTGCAAGACCACGTCTGAATGTTGCACCATTCACAATCATCAAGAGTCCATAGAATTGTGACTATTTAAAGAAATATTACACATTTCAAGTGATCACTTGGCAAAGTGGCTCTGTGCCACTATCCATGAGCTTTGAGAAAGAAAAACATTGGACATTTAATAACTAGGGAAGAACCTAAATCCAAACACTCCCAACCTTAGGGGAAAGGTTCAGGTTTGGATACATCCTTTTCTGGAATTCTCCAAATAGTCACCCTAAAAATTGAGCAAAATGTTCCTAATTTTCCTCTCTAAATATAAAGTCACAAGAGACTTGTCAAGTGCCATACATTTAAAAAAGGGAGGCACTATAAATATCTTTGAAACACACTCATAATCATTCTTCCTCTCCACATAGGACTTTCTGCATGTCTGACAATCCTAACCAATATCACATATCAGCTCTGAGTATATTTCAATCAGCTTAAGTTGTGCTTGCAAAACTTTGGGATCCATTCAGACAAAATTTCTGTCTAGCTACTATAACTTTGTCTGGGAGAAATTTCCACAGACTCTGGGTATTTTTCTTGCTTGATATCCTCAAGGATGAAGATCTTTAGTTTCTAGTCCTGTTCATTAAACTGGTTTCTAGTCTGGTGACCTTTGTCCATCTCAAAGTTCTTAGTTCAGTTCATTTTTCAACACCCAGTATCAAAATGATGAGCTAAATTCCACCTGTGCATAGGTTAAATTAATAAAGATAATGTGATCTTGAGGAATGCGCATAGGGTTGGAAATCGTGAGTTGTAATCCTAGTCTCACAACTGACTGATGGCTGGGTCTTGGTAAGTTACTTTGCTTTCTGTATCCCCTGGATGAGGATAATAAAACTGAAATGGTGTGAGGCTTAGCTAATATCTCTATGGTACTTGCATCATCTAATGGCTGAATATTAATAGACATTCCTTCTGTCTATTAATACAGAATGTACAGAAGGTAACATTCCTTCTGTTACCTTTACTTTCACCTGCTGTGAGTCTGTTTCCTTCTGACACAACTTTCTTTCAAACATTTTTCTCCCTTCTGACCTGTCCTTTGGCCTTTGCCACTGAATGCGCAGAATTATGCTTTTCATTTGTCCTTGGATCATTTTGTATGTTATTTTTGATTATCACCTAACTAAACAGACTTTGTATTGTGGTCCATACATCTGATTACACTATTGTAACTGAATCCTGCATTGTCTTCTATATCTGGGCTGGGAGTCCTAATAAAGTTACCCTTATAGCATCCTTTACCCTTTTAAGTTTCTCTGTTGTTTTGTTCCTTTCAGCTTCTCTCCCTTTTCATCCTTATCCCCTAGTGTATTTTAAACAGTTCCATTGAAGTCTTATCCTTTTCTCTTCATGGCCATTTTTTGCAATGAAATCTCCACTGAAAGAGATCCTCGCACCTCAGATAATTCTTTTCTTTTATTATCTGGATGGCTGCCTGTCAGGTGCATGAACCTGATTGAGTCTCGTCTCCCTCACACTGTGCAGTGCATTCAGTCGAATTTTAGGACAGTCTTCTTTGTCGGAGATATTTTGTTAAAGTCTTTCGACATTCTCAGCTCCTTTCAGCATACAGACAACCTCTCCAGTGGTCTGTGCAGCTATTTCTCAAAAGTTAAAAAAAAAAGTGGACTACTTTGGGAAAGCAGATGACATTTATACCTAATGTTGTGCTATGTAATCCAACAAAATGTTCAGACATCTGCCTCTGTTTCTAATTCTTTTTAGCTACTAACCTCTGTTGGAGATCTGGTTTTACGTCAAACTTTCATTCTGAAACCAGATGAGCCTGAACTTGCCAGGTCCTCTCTTGGAAATAAGTGATTCCTGTGATTCTAGCTTCGCACCTTTGGGGTTTTGAAGTAATTACGGCTTTCACATGCTGATCAGATGTAGCATTAAGTGGCTATAATGAACCAGAAGAAGGAAAAAACTGTCTTGATAAACTATCGGAGGAGGATCTTCTCTCTGAATCAAGCACAGGCAGCAATAGCTCTTACCCTACTTCTTAGATTAATGGAGCAATCAATGCAAGATCCTCTGTTCTGTCACTTCCAAGCTTTTCAGACTATAACATCTCTTTGCTTTTCCTCCAACAGCTCTTAACAAGCTATGTAGATGCAGCATCAATGTGGTGGCCCTTAGTTGGAGGTCAAAGAAACTTTGAAAAGTACCATGGATCTTTTATGTCCACTCACCACCAACAGAACATTGATTTTTAAGGACTCAGCTAGAAGAATATACACTAGCAGCTGCAGTTTATTGACACTGAAGGAATGACAAATTGAGACAACTCTGCAAGAATTGGAAGCAATAGCTCAAAGCTGTCTAAGACTTTCAAACTGCAGAGTAAGGTATAAATCTTCCTCTCCGAGAACAAAGAAGGACAGCCACTTGCAACCCAGCAGATGGACTAACTCAGTGGTCATCAACCAGTAGATTGGGATCTACCAGTAGATCTTGGAGCCTCTGAAAGGTGATCCTGACTGGTATGGCCAAGAGGCTATCAAGGACCAGCACTTCAGGTGGTCCTCCCCCCCACTGCTGTGCATCTCCTACCCTTTGCCTTGGAGCTGTCCCCTCAGGAGCCCCCTGCTTTCTGCAGGAGGTGGTGTGCTCATGTCAAGATGCCCCCTCTCCCATGCTGTATCCTATCTCCACAGAGCAGAGAGGGGGCACAGCAGGACTTGGGATGGAGTTTGCTGGCTGCTTTTGGGAGCAGTGCAGGATGAGGGCAGGGGTGAGCCTGCCTTAGCCCTACTGCACCAACACCCAGGAGCCACCTGAGGTTAGCAGTGCCCAGCTGGTGCCCACATCCCGAAACCCCACCCCAGTCATGAACCCCTTCTTAAGCCCCAAGTACCCCTGCATCCAAACACCCTCCCAGAGTCTGCACCTAGAACCCCCTCCTGTCCCAGGCTCAGCTCAGAGCCCCTCTCTCATTCCAAATACCTTAATCCAAGACCACAGCCTGCACCCCAACCTGGTGAAAGTGAGGGAGGATGGGTAGGGGACTCAGAGAAGGGGCACAAAGGAGGTGGGGCAGGGATATTTGGGTCTAAGGTAGCTCTTGGATTGCACTTAAATTCAAAAAGTGATCTCATGCTTAAAAAGGTTGGAGACCACTGGACTAACTTAACCTCAGAGGTTCTGGGAGGCAAATGAATTCAAACTGGAACAGGTACAAAGAAGGGCCACTAGGATGATCTGAGGAATGGAAAACCTGTATTATGAAAGGAGACTCAAGGAGCTTGGCTTGTTTACCTTAACCAAAAGAAGGCTGAGAGGGGACATGATTGCACTTTTTAAATATATTAGAGGGATAAATACCAGGGAGGGAGAGGAATTATTTAAGCTTAATACCAATGTGGACACAAGAACAAATGGATATAAGCTGGCTAGTAGGAAGTTTAGACTTGAGATTAGACAAAGGGTTCTAACCATTAGAGGAGTGAGGTTCTGGAACAGCCTTCCAAGGGAAGTAGTGGGGGCAAAAGATCTATCTGGTTTCAAGATTAAACTAGATGGGTTTATGAAGGGGATGGTTTGATGAGATAACATAATCTTGGTAACTAATTGACCATTCATTATCAGTGGGAATAGGTCAATGGAGGGATGATAGGCGTACTATAGAGAACTTTCTGGGTGTCTGGCTGATGAGTCTTGCCCCCATGCTCAGGGTTTAGCTGATCGCCATATTTGGGGTCGGGAAGGAATTTTCCTCCAGGGTAGATTGGCAGAGGCCCTGGAGGGTTTTCGCCTTCCTCTGTAGCATGGGGTACAGATCACAGCTAGAG